GGAAACTTAAATTCCTAAAATGCTGTGTAAACTTGTGTCAGCAAGGTTATAAAATGCATGCTGATTAATTAACAACTTCATTGTTAGTCAGCTATATTCAGTGGGGTTTGTATTCTTTCCACAGACAAAGTACTATACAGAGAATTATTATGTTTCATCTAACATACATAGGTATTCATACCAGCAGTGGAATGTATCAGGGGAAAATTGCAAATAATAGAAACAGTAGATGATAATATTTGTAATGTTACCATGAATGAATTTAATAATTGTAATGTTACAGTATATAACTGCTAAGAAGCTGTTTATACAGTTATTCTAATTGTACAGGCAGGCTTTAATCCTGTTTTCTATGATTTGCTTTTGGCAATTTTGGCAACCATAACAGTTTGCAATACTTAATATTGTTACTGTGCTTCTCCTTGGTAGATTTCAGAGCAGCTGTAATTGAGTACCCTCTGTGTCTTTTCATGAAAAATTGAAGCTCTGACTAACAAGTCCTTTGAGATCCTATTACTCTGAACTTGGGCAAGAACAACACTGAAGTGGTACAAATGCTTGCTTTGTTCTCCAAGTGCAGTTAAATATTGAGCATTTCTCAATTACAAAGCGCTTGGGTCTTCAAGATGTGGTTAAACTTTAATGTCTTTTGGTTTCATGAAGCTCCCATTCCAGTTGCCATCATTGTAATTATGGGGCTTAAATCATGCAAAAGGTCTGTCAAAATGGAAATATATAGCTGCAGCTGTTACTCTGTTTACCAAGGTTTTTTTTCCAGCTCTCTATCTGTCCTTGTATGTATTTATGCACTTGCTATTGTTCGGTATCTCCAACTCCTCACTATTAACATGAAATCCATTGCTTTAGCTTCTTATGACTGCAAAAAAACCATCCTAGGTCTTTATGAATAAAGGTGAAATGCAACACAGGCATCAAGGAAGTGCCTGCCCTGGGTAAGCAAGACTTGCCACTTTGTCTTCTTTGTCTGAAGCTTGTGTTCATATGATTTGCACAGGATACATAAACTGGCTGTTGATCAGGCCAATAGATCACCACAGGCCAACCTGCAAAAGCAGACATCTTCTTGGAAGAGTATAGCATGAGCCTGAAATTGTGTGTGCTGCTTGCAGCTCAACTCCAGGAGAAAGTAAGTTTTCTGTCAGTATATACAGAAAGAGACCTCACCATTAACAGATAATTGCACAAGATTGTTACAAACATCCATTAACTAATTTCACAGCTCATGAGGTAAGTTTTCTTCACCTCATATGATAGGTAGATATGCCAAGCCACAGTAAGTGGCATGCTTAAAACCTCAGTCACTCTGACGCTAGCGTGCTGACCCCTGAAGTCATCAAGAGCTTTGCTGCTAACTTCAAAAAGCAAGAAGATAGGCACAGCTTTGCCTTAGCATTGCAAATTCATCATAGACCATTTGCTTTCCTGAAGGTATCTGCATTGCAATAATGTTTGGGGATGCATTTATCATAATTAAAGCAACAGATACACCCTCTATGACACAAACACTGCCTCCTATTACATTGAACACGGAAAGGCTTTTATTTTCACCCTATATATTCCTTGACTTAGGAAATTAATCAGACTATTGAATTTCAAGTTCTTATATATACATTCAGATGTTTTACCAAAAACGTATGTTTAACTTGTGCAATGCACAATTTAGGATTGTTAGTTTCTTGTTCCACTGCTGCTGTGCTATGTTACATGCTAACAAACAACACTGCAGCATTGGCAAATAAGGTCTGAGGTCTTGCTTGGATTGTCAGCTGGAGACAGTCTGTACCCCTGATTGCTGGAGATCAGAGATACTGTGGCAGTAACTGGTTGGAAACTTTCTGCTATGCCAGCTGTTTCTGGGGGGTGTAGTGGGGGTGGAACAGCAGTGTTTGGACCAAGAGCAAAGGTTTATTTGTGTTCTTGCCACAGCAAAATTTGTGGTCCCAAATCCGTTAGGCTTTGATTTTTAATTGGCTAGGTACCATTTCAATCTTGCTTCTAGTGAACCGTGAAACACACTCAGACCAAGATGTCTGGGAAGTGTACTTCTATACACTGAATGTAAACACTAGAATTTAACATTAAGTTGCACATTTCAGGTGACCTGATGAAAGCTTACTTAAAAATCAGTTGGTTTTGTTTCTGTGGTAAATATGACCTTGGCAAGTCTTACCAAATCTTTGTTTCTGAACTGCATTTTATCAAACCTGGAAAAATAGTACCATGACACTGCTTGTTAATTATCCATCAAAAAGCCAGATTCAGGCAACACTGAGCTTTCCAGATGCATGACTGATAGCAGCTTTAAAGGAAAAGTACCAAAATATGCAGGCTTTGGGAGCTGGTATTTACAAAGTTAAAAAGGTTTAAAATACGGGGTAAAAATCAGTATGAAGGATATGCAGACTGCAGTGTGCTGTCTCTGAACTGGAGAGGCATGTATTTGACACATGGACCACTGGGTGGATAAGGAATTGGCTTATGGTTGCACTGTTGTAGTCAACAGCTTGATGTCCACATGGAGATGGGTGGCAAGTGGTGTCCCTCAAGGGTCGGTATTGCAACTGGCACTGTTGGTTCAACATCTTTGTGCGTGACATGGACAGTGGGACTGATGCGCCCTCAGCAAGTTTGCCAATGACACCAAGCTGTGTGCTGCAGTCGACACGCTGTAGGGAAATGATGGAATAGGGAGGGACCATGGCAGTATTGAGAGGTGGGCCCATGAGAACCTCTTGCAGTTCAACTGGCCAAGTGCAAGGTCCTGACCGTCAGTCAGGGCAATCTCAAGCAGAAAAATTTGGGATACAGAGACTGGGTGGAGAGCAGTGTGAGAAGAAGGACTTGGGGGTGATGATTAACAAAAAAGCTCAACAAGAGCCGGTAGTGTGTGCTTCCAGCCCAGAAACCAGCAGTGTCCTGGGCTACATGAAAAGGGGTATGGCCAGCAGGTCGAAGGAGGGGATTCTCCCCCTCTACTCTGCTCTGGTGAGAACCCCCCTGCAGTCCTGCATCCAGCTTTGGGGGGCAACCACACAGGAGGCATGTGGAGCTGTTGGAGTAAGCCCAGAGGAGGCCATGGAGATGCTGTGAGGGCTGGAGCAGCTCCGCTCTGGAGCCAGGCTGGGAGAGCTGGGCTGGTTCAGCCTGGATAAAGAGAAGGCACTGTGGAGACCTTAGAGCAGCTCCAGTGCCTAAAGGGGCTATAGGAAACCTGGAGAGGGCCTTTGGACAAGGGATGTAGGGACAGGCCAGGGGGAATGGCTTTAACCTGCCCAAGGGGAGACTGAGATGAGCTCTTAGGCAGAAGCTCTTCCCTGTGAGGGTGCTGAGGCGCTGGTACAGGGTGCCCGGAGAAGCTGTGGCTGCCCCATCCCTGGCAGTGTTCAAGGCCAGGTTGGACACAGGGGCTTGGAACAAGCTGCTCTAGTGGAAGGTGTCCCTGCCCGTGGCGGGGGTTGGAACCAGATGGTCTGTAAGGTCCCTTCCAGCCCATACCCTTCCATGGCTCTATGAAACAGTTATTGAAGCTGCAAATAAACAAAACTGTTCTTGGAACTTGAATTTCTAGCATACAGTGCTCCAGTGGGTCTTTTTTTGAGCAGGCTTTTGGAGGGAGGACAAGCAGGGACACACTCTGCTCAGCCTTCACAAGCTGAGGAGTAAATAGGAAAAAGATGTCGGTACAACTTGGACGATTCCTTGGGTAAAACAAGGGGATTCGGCACCACCTCCAAACAGTCCCTTCAGCACAAACCCCATCCCATTGCTGTTAAACTATGATTGGCTGAAGGTCTGAAGTAGCACTTATTTTTAAATTGGCACAGAGCAGAGCCGAAATTCTTCACTCAGGAATAGAATAGGGACTGGAACAAATTACTTGTGAAACTGAACAGCATAGCAAGCAGAAACTCATTAGAAATAATAGTAAAGACAGAAAAAAGACTGAAGATATGATTGTATGGGACAAAATAAAATCAAACATGACAAAACCAGCTTGCTTTCTCTTCATCAACAAAGGGAGATACCAAACCACACAGAACAGAACCCAAGTCTCAAACAACCTAATTTAGGTACCTAAAATAGGAAGCTAGTTTTCTATATTCTCTAAGTATGTGGAGAGAGTAAAAAGAAAGAAGGTTCTGCAAAAACAGTTCATAAATAAACATGATTTACAGCCCACGCTCTTGCTCAGGGAGGTAACATGAGGTCACAGGAATATTCCTGAGTGAATGATCCCTTTTTCCACCCACTGAGCACAAACAAGGAGTGTCTTCTGGGCACCCAGGACGGGCAGATGGGCCTCCCCCTCTCCCGGGGCTGCAAAGAGAGAGCCTGCACCGCCCTGTATCCTGACCTCCACTGCTCTTTCATTTGATGGTAGCTCTCCAAGCATTTGCTTTGAAAGGTGGGCTGAGCCCGAGAGGTAAAAACATTTTCATCGTCCGGAAACGAGTGAACCGTGAGAGGAGCGGATTGTTTCTGCGGAAGAGAGGATGGAGAGGACGCGCTCCTCTGGCATGGTGACATCCGAGGGACGCGGGGGCTTGCTCGGCTCCGGCTCGCTCCCAGCTACAGATGATCCTGCGCGGCCCCGCCGCTACCGCTGGGGAATGCGGGCATCCTTGGGGCAACGCGGCCACCCCAAAGTGCGGGGCAGCAAAGCGAACCCAGGGAAAGGCAGAACCCGGTGCCGGGCGAGCGGTGCCAGCAGCACAGCGGCACCGATACGCTCCCGCCCGGACCGCCCCGGGCGCGCCCCCTCCCGGCCTCCTCCAGCGCCGGGAGCGCGCGGGGATGCGGCGGGAGGGCTGCGGGCGCGGCCGTTCCCCGCCCATCACCTGACGCCGTGGGCAGGCGCAGCGCGGGGCCGCAGGGACTACAAAGCCCGCCGGGCAGCGCGAGGCTGGGAAGCTGGCGTCTCGGCGTGCGCAGGGACCGCGGTGTAACGCGGTTCCCAGCGGCAGCCGCAGCCGCAGCCGCAGCTGCAGCTGCAGCTCGGGCGCTATGGTCTGCAGCGCTGGGCTGATGCAATAGCTGGATCTGCGGTTACGGCGGCGGCACCGCAGCACTGCGGGATCGGCTGTCTGTACTGCGACCAAGTTTGTGGGATCTGAACATGGGGAGATCGAGCGTGTTGGCGTGACTGCCGGCTCCTCGCGTTCCTCTGACCGCTTTCCTCGCCTGCCCCGATTACAGACCGCACCGACCAGAGGCACCGGCATCCTCAGCCGCGCGTGGGAAGCTACCCGAAGGGCTATGCATCGGTTTGTGCTGGCCGCCAGGCAAGCGGCCGCAAGCGTAGGCTGCCGGAACGCGGGGAGCGGTGGGAAGAGCACGGCTCTGAGATGCGCCACTTCGCTGGCGGCCGACCGGCCCCCGCGGGGTCCCCGGCTCCCGCGGCCGGCGCGGGAGGGGACGGTGCGCTGGAGCAGCGCTGCCAAGGCCTCTGCTGCGAAGATCAGTGAGAAGGCGAGCAGGGAGAAGATACTGACGCTGGAGTCCATGAACCCGCTGGTGAAGGCGCTGGAGTACGCGGTGCGAGGGCCCATCGTGCTGAAAGCCGGCGAGATCGAGAACGAGCTGCGGAAGGTGAGGCGGCGCCGGGCGGGGTAGGGTGCGCTGCCCCCCTCCGCCCTTTCCCGCAGGGAGCGCGCCGCCGCCCGCGCGGGCCCCGCGCCCAGCGCTTGGTCGCCGCAGTGGGGGCTCGGCGGGGCCCGCAGAGGCCTCGGGGCACCGGTGCGATGCCTCGTGCCAAGGTAACAGCTCGCAGACCGCGCACAGCACCCGTCCTACCCCCTCTGCTGCCCGGAGCCGTGGCCGGGGCACGTCGGCCGCCTTCCGACCCTCCCTAGGCAGGCCCGAGTGTCTCGCAGGGCAGGGAACGGGGCCTGCGGAACACTCGGGGGTGGGGGTTTGGGGAGAAGAGAGGCCCAAAGCAAAGAAACCCGCCCTCCGGTTGCTGTTGATCGGTGTCACAAGCTGCATGAGGCAAACACCCCCACAGCGCAATGTTTACATTTCCTCAGCTACTCTGACCTTTCGGCCAGAGCAGGCCCGGTTCACCGGTTATACAAGAGCGTGACTCACAGGCTTCTGTCCCTGGAGGTGTTCCCAAACGAGACCCTCAGTGACAGGGTTTAATGGTGGCCTTGGCAGTGCCGGGAGAACCACTGGGCTTTCCCAACCTGGTTGATTCTGTGATTCTATGACAAAGCCTTTAAAACATTCACGAGCATTTCAGAGATGCTGCCTTCACTGGGGCTGTACCAGCGGGCTTGGGAGGTGAGAGGTGGGCCCAACTCTTCGCCGGCTCCTGTGGCACAAGCAACACCCCTCTGGGTTTTCCAGACCTGGGAGGCTAGTGCTTTCTGTGGAGACCACCAATACTGTGCTGGTGTTTTCTTCACTGCAGGAGTTGAGGTACTCTGTGGACTAGCCTGTGGAGTGCAAACACAGCCCAAAGTTGTAGGTGGTTAGTGCTGTATCAGGCAATAAAGCCTGATACAAGATACTCCTCAGGGTCTGGGCCAGAAAGTACTAAAGAAAGCGAATCAGTCAATATTTTGTTCTTCAGATTTTTTTCCTATTCTTTATGCTAGCATTGGAGAAGCCCAAACCTTAGTAATGTATGGTATGGCTTTGGGCTTGTGCTGTCAATACTGTTGCCTAACCTGTCAGCACAAGAACTCACTGGATTTTGGTTTGAATAAAGCTTCTGGCAAGCTGTTTTTCTATGGTTGCAAGTATTATTCCCTGCCATCACTGTTTCAGAAAGCCTTGCTACTGCAAGATCATTTTCATTACTGTATGTAAAGTGCTTTAAGCAAAAGCAGTGCCATAGCAATGCTATCAACAAGTTTATTTTAATTCTTTGGTGTTTGTGCTACTTGGTTCCTCTTGGTTTAGAAGGTGAAGCATGTTGTCACTTCACTGCATATTACACACATCAGTTACTTATGTCTAACTTCGTAATTATTAGAACGAGCTTTTTTAGAATTCTTAAAAACTTTGGAGTGGTGATGGAGATTTCATTTCAGAACGTTTGATTTTTGCCGTAAAACTTGTTATAAAGGTGTCACTGTCTTTATACAACTAGGTTCCCTAGTGGGTGCCTTTTCCAGAGTATGAAATCCTCCCATGTTCTTGCTGAGTATACTTGATTTCAAGTTAACCTCACCAGGCAAGAAATAGTACTTGACAAAACAAACATAATACAATCTCCACTAGTTCTTCCCGACTTCCCTATTTACTTCAGTTACCAGCTGAGTCACTGCAAAGACAAGAAATAAGCTTCTGTGCACTTTTTAACAATTGCAAGAGCAAGTCATTGCCAGTTGCTTTACTAAAAGACTGTTGTGGCAGTTTTGTGCCCACTTACCTGGCATTTTCCATTTAAAAGTTGTTATTTTGTGAACCATTCTCATGGGATAATGGTAGTCGTTACCAATGGCTACCAGCGCTCAGACATGTGATTATGCTTGGCAGTGACTAACCCGACCAAAACCTTCATGGCTGGCAGGGAAGGAGGAAAGTACTGCTGTGAAAGTTAAGAAGATGGCTCTGTAGAGAACACTAATCAACTTAATGAAGCAGCTTGAAGACTATTTTCTTCCACACTGCTCAAGTTAGTCATTCCCCTTTGCCTTTCTGATATATTGTTACTCCTACTGTTTAATCAAACTGTCTGGTAAAGTATACAGCCTTGAGGAGTACCTGGGTTCCTTGTAACTGAAATATTGTAGATCGTCTAAATGTCCATAGTTTGGTCTAAACCTGACATCTGTGTAATCACAGATAAGTGCCACTTACTTGATTACTTTTAACTGAAACTAGGCAACTACTTTATTTCATCCCTGTAAACCTTAAGCTCGTAGAGTTATGTCAGTCACTGCCAGCAGAACTAACACTGCCTGATGTGGTTGTCAGAGAAGTGGTTGTCAGAGAAGAGTAGTGCTGCACAGCATCTTTAGATCCATGATTACTCTTCACTGACAGCAAAACTGATGCCCCATAGAAACTCTACTACATATGATGGGGAAGGAGATCTCAGGCATGAGAGCATGGACTCCACTTCCATGACTGCTGGTAGCAAGAGCTGGCAGAGGTGAAACAATGATGGTAAATCTGCATTTGTCCTGTTCTGCCTAGGTGCCTTTCGATGATTTGTTCCCAGACTAAAGGCATCTGAAATGCAGACATTGTCTAATCGGATACAATGAAGGTTCTTCCTGTTTAAACTTGGTTCAATTTAGTTAGATGTGGTTCATGTGTAACTTGCAACAGCTTGTCATGCAGGCTATATAAGTTACTTGAAGCTGTTTCCACAGTGTAAACTTTCATCTTTGAGTTTGGTTCTGCTGTCTTGGATTCCAAATAGCAGTTCCTCTGTTCTATCTGGGACTTGCTTCTTTCCTATGTTACCTGCGTATGGTTACAAAAGGAGTTCTTAACTCCACAGTGCATAGAGAATAAGGACTAAAATGTTACTTGAGAAGTTGCTGAGTAGGCAATTGAAGGGGTAATTCCTTAAAAAAGTAAATAAAATTGAAGCATTCATTTTGAATAATGAGCTCAGGAGTAAGGCAACGTAGGTGACAAGTTAGAATACTCTACTAAAGCAGAGTGCGATTAGTTGCTCAGGAATACAGATGAGGCATGCTGTACTTGGACCTCATGAGTTTTGTTGGCCTGTAACGTGTATTCATGTAGGTGGAAAATGAAGGTTTTGATCTACATTAAGTCTTTCCAGCTGGCAACTTTCATGCAAAAGCACTTACTTGAATCACTTCTCTGAATATTTTTGTTACAATTTTGAAATTGCATTAATCTGTCAAATGTGAAAACTTGATTTCTCTTCCTCTTTGCTAATGGTAATAATCAGCTGATTCTGGTTTACTAGGGTGATAGAGAATATATGGAGATATTTTCCTTGCCATTTCTAGGAACTTTTTAAAGTAAGCTAGAGCACAGGCTTATCTTGATAAATAATTATATTCTCAATAGAACTTAAACTATGGTGGGTTTTTTTTTTTACCCCTTTGTTTTAGACTTGCTAACAGATGGCCACCATATCAAGTACTGACTTTAATTACATTTCAGATTTGAAATTTTAGCCTGAACATGAATTCAATGCAAGAAAGTCACCTTTGGACAAAGCATTTCTTTTTACTTAACCAGTGATAACAAGGTAGCTTTGTCTTTACATGGGCAGCACACCTGATTTGTTACTTTTGTATTCATGCTAATTTTAAGTGACTTGCTATGTGAAGTCCCTTCTTACCTGTTACTCTGACATCTCTCTCCACTTATACTTCCCTTTTGTCCCAATTTCCTGCTTAGCTTTTACATAATGTCAGGTTCTATGTCAGGTTAAGTTGGCTTACACATACTTGCAAGGCATGCACATATTAAATAGCACTTCTGGATCTACCAGTCAGCTCTTGTAAGGTTGGAAGCTTTGCCTGGCTTAGTGTAAGTCATATAACATTAGGTCCCTGTTCAAAACTAAAGTTACTGAAGCAAAGATACAGGACAGAAAGGGATAGAGGGGTGGAATGTATGCAGAGATACACTGGTAGCATATAGAAAGTTCCTTAAGATCAGCACAGGTTGTTAGAATATTCCACCATAGAGTCTGAATTTAGGTGCCTTTCATGCCCAGTTAAGGTGCCTCTACACACTGAAGCCCTTTTTTTTTTGTTTTTGCTGAACAGCCACTGTAGTTTGACTTTGCTGTAAACTCATCTGCGCTCATGTTTTTAATTTACGTTACTGTTGCAAAGAGATGCCTATTGCATGTTTACTCTTAAAGTCACTGGTTCACTCCCTACGTTTCTGTTTAGATAATAAAACTACCCAAGTCCCTTTTACTTATGTAGATCTAGCAGCTTTTGCAAAAGTGTTTTGGGTAAACGACTATAGACTGACTTTTTTTTTTAATTTTGTTTTAATTTTGGTTTTTACTTTTACTAAATCTTCAGGCTTTTAAATTGAATAGAAATTGAATGCTCCTGCCCATGGCAGGGGTTGGAACTTGATGATCTTAAGGTCCTTTCCAACCCTATTTTATGATTCTATAAAAAAACCTGATTTAGAATCCAGACTTCATTGTAAATATGAGTTGACCATGTCCCTGAGAGTTGTGGTAAGATAAAACACAGTTTAGAGCATAACATGCAGAAATATAATTTGACATGCCAAGAAGAAGATACAAGATTGACTGGTACACCCAGTAATGAAAGTTTAAATTGTTATACCATAATTTCCTGCCTTGAAAACATGCCTGCACGCACACTAAGAAAATACCTTCCAGGCAAGAGCTACGACCTCAGTAAGACAGAATTGTTGTTGCTCAGTGGCCTGTACATGTTCCATGTGGAAGAGAATCTGTAGTAAACCCCACATCTTTTAGCAGGGTGAAACTACTGCAGATGAAGATGAGGAAAATCAGTTATAAGAATATGGTTGCCAAAATCATATGTTCAAAAGCACACAGTCCACAAGATCCAGATACTTAATTTTTTCGTGTTGAATACAGTAACAGAATCTATTCCAAAACAGCCCTTTTCCCATAGGTTTTCAAGTTAAGG